TTCAAGAATATCAAAGGCAAAACAACATACATTTTTAGCAAACTGAGGTTCTAGGAACAAATTAGAAAGTACAAAACATAAAAGCCTGCAATTGTTTCAAATACACCTAGCAATTCTGCTGATTTTGGACCATTAAAACTGATTACTTAATTAGGCAATCATTCAAGACATCCAAACACTCACAGACAAAAACAGCATAGCCGTCTTTCACCTTGAGATGAAAATGCTGAAAAATGTTGCAGACACTTAAACTTTCAGAATCTGTCCCCATGCATAAACTAAGCAAACCCTAAAATGTGATATTGCAAGACTCAGGCAAAAAATAATATACTTGTAATTATATTACTCATCTATTTTTCAGGTGGCTAATATTTTAAACTATCTTAGAAACATCAAGTTATAATACAGACTGTCTCTAGATTCCTGGAAGTACTGTCCCCTTTCTCCCCCCGGTCATACTCTTGTACTAACTAAAAGTAATTAACAAAAATTTTGCTCTCTTATATGCCTATCAGAAGTACCTGCCTCCAAAGTTCCTGCCTAACATGAATAAAAACAACAAAAAAGATGTTCTATGTATGGGAAAAAAAGCACTGGGAAACTCAGTCGCAGCAGTCTTTAACAGAACTGCGGGAAAAAACCTCTATGTTTTCACTCAGAAGGTAGCAGAGACATTTTTAAGAATTTCACTGATTCAGTGCCATCAGGAAAAATAAAAATATTCTGTTTCCAAAAGATGGTTCCTGAAATAATTCTCAAGAGCCCCTGTAAACTGTCTTTTTAGGAGAAGAAAAAAGCAAGTCAACTCACACGTACAGCTTCCAAACAGAAGTCTTACCCTCTTCCAGGAAAACAACAATGAGATTTTTATTACCCTGCTATGATTCTTTCATTTCAGACATGATTAATTAGCAAGTATTACACTTCCCCAAACTCCTACCACAGTCTAGTTGTTGATAGACCCATATGAAATAGCAACTAGCCACCAGCAGTAAAAGACAAGTATCCAAAAGTCTATTCCAAAGAAGGAACGCTTCCATCATTACCTCCAAATATGAAACAGGCTGCTTTTAACAGCTTTCACTAAAAAAAAAAATTTTTTGAAAGTTGGTCATTTTTTCAATAATACCATTTAAAATTTGAATAATGCATGCAACATATTCAGTATTCAAAGATACATGGCATATTTAATCTGTTACCTACCTATATTTTTAATTTAAGCTGAAATTATGAAAGACTTGTGAGTCCCTGAAATTTATATTGCCAATAATCCACATGCACAGTTAATAAACAATAAAGATGATATGAGCAAGCATGTTTTGGGAAATGATTTTAGTAGAAAAAAATTGTTTCTTTCTCCACTAAAAGCTAGCATGTCACACATGAAATGAAGATGGGAAATAGAAATAAGGACTAATAAGAGAAGATGAAGGGAAGAGAGCCACTCTAAAACCTGAATGCATGAAAACTCTAATTCTCTATATATTGTTCCACAACACTTTCAAAATAATTTTCCCTTTAAAACAATCACTTTCAAAATGTCCATATGAACCAAGAAGCCAGCCAAAACTGACTGTACTATAAATATGTACAATGGTCAATTTAAAAAGGCTGGGGTTTCCTCTTCAACCTTTTCAACTGTTACATCCAAAAAACTTCACACATAGTATAATACTAATAAATAGATCTTGTTGGTTCCAGGAAACATTTTTTTTTTTTAATCTATCCTGGTCAAAATATCCTTGCTTTTCTTCTGTTGTATTAAATTTAGGATCAAAAACATCAAAGCAGCTTCCACCTCGGACCTAACTTTTAGAGGATCAATGTGACAAGGCAGTCCCTGATAGATGTTTCTCTTGATAAACGACTTGTTCAAAAGAGACATTGTAGCTTTCATTTCCTGACCACAACACACTTTTAATTTGCAACAGCAGAGCTGCCAGAGTGTGAGTACTTGCCCACTTTCCAGCCTTTTAGGTTTGTAGCTCTGGCTCCTTTAGGCCACACATTTGAGACAAACAAAATCTAAAAATAATCAGAGTAATAGAATTACAAAATAGGAGCCACTGATGCCACTCTATACATATGTACAAGTGTCTATAGATTACATATAAACTTTTCCTCCGCAGAATTCTAGTATATGATAACAAGCTTCCTGAATGAACATCACTTACACAACGGGCATTTAAACACACAGGGAAATAAATGATGTGACTATTATTTAATAGTAAGCAGAGACGGGGGGCAATTTATATATTTAAATCTGCTGTTAAATGTCATGAATTATAGGACTGCCTACCCCAATGTGTTTTTTACATATTACTGTAATAATTATTATTACTACTACCCAGAAATCACATTTAAGTATCAATACGGTGAACAGTCAAACCATCCAATTTCTGCTCTCAGCACATTGTCCAAGCTCCGATTTAAAATTTATAAATGTAATATCCTCCTCATCACAGGCAGCAGCCCAATCTGCTCTGAATATATATTACAGCTTTAACATCACAGAGGGAAATCGCCCATCTGGCAATCCCATTCGCTCCAACAGCTCCGGGGGAAAAAAGCTGTGCTCTTTCCTCCTTAAAACATTTCTCAGGGCAAATTATGTGCATCTAAAATAAACAGTCTTCTTATTGATCGCTTCAAAGTCAACAAGTTCCAAATGCAAAATTCAATCAAACCCTTCCTATCATGTAAGCGAGGTGTGTGTTTAGCTCAACAGTCACCAGAGTCCAACCAGAAGTGCCTGTCGCGCATCGGCTCTTGTAGTTCCTTTCCTTGAATTCACATTTGTGTTATGAGAAAGCAGTAATCACGGCCACATTACAGACCCCTGGCAGCTTTGCCCCACTGCTTTTTCTTTCTATTTCATATTCCCCCTTTCCTTCATTCTCTCTTTTCAGGGTGAATGCATGGTGGTGGGGGTATATGTAACAAAAACAACAAAAAAAATATTTTAAAGTGGACATACCCTTTGGTTATGCAAAATACTTTTTAAAATGTTTTTGTTGTTTCCTTCTAGTCTTAATTGAATATCACAAAGTATACACACGGTCATAAGAGCTACTGAAAACATCCTCTCACTCCATTTATCTTTTTTTTTTTTTGGTAAAGAGAGATTTCAAACAAAGTCAATTTCAGTGCCTGCTTATTTAATTCTGTCACAGGTTAAAAGTAAAAAGCGCTGACAGGCAGACAAGTGAATGGCAAGGAAAAAAATAAAAAATAAAATCCTACCACTATTCTTTAAAAGGCAGTAAGAACTTTAAGTAATCAAAATACATTTTTTTATTTTCATGTAAAAGATATCCCTTCACTCACTCACTCCCCCCAAAAAAAACCACACTCAGAAGAACTGATTACAAAGTGCAATCATCGAGAAAGCAGAGTCAAATTGCATTAATAGATTGAGAAAAAAATTTTCATACACTTCTGTGTGTGTACATATATATATATATTCATTAGCAAGGAGTCTTTCCCCATACTCCCGCCCTCTCCCCTCTCCACCCAGCCCCCTCCCCAAAAAAACCCCATACTGAGTTTAACTAATTTACATACCATTTGACTTCAGCGGTTACATAGTGCATTACTAGTAACATGCAACTTTGGGATTACAGCTAAAACTGATAAAAGTGGACTCCAGTAATTTATTAATCAAAAACTGAAACATACAAACAAGTGATAGCAAAAGCAAACAGGCATTTTAACATTAAAATATACATACATATATATATATATATAAAGGAATTATATATCATCAACAGCTGCTCCCCAAGCAGAGTCTCCAATAGTCTTACCATACTATTTAATTTGTCTTTCCTATTTAGATGCAAAGGAAGTAAATTCCAAAACTGACATACCATAAACACTGGTGCTACTGATCATTTCTTGCTGGCAGCACAAAAAGCTGAATTGGATTTCTCACAAGCAGGAATTCCAAAGGTTGCTTTTCATTAAAGTCACTTTTCCTCTCAGCTATCAAATGTCACTGCCTTGAAACGTGGGCCCTTTCGTCAGGTATTCATTTAACCTACATGCATATAATTAAGGGGGAAAGCAACATCAACAAAAAGGGGATCTCAGATCACAGGAGAAGAAAGAAAGGAAAAAAAGCACATGACCAGGAATGCAAGTCCATGTCAATTTCACTCACTCCCATTGAAACTAACAAGAGCTCCGGGGAGGACGGTAATAGGATCAGTGGATTGTATATACCATTAAATTATACATCTTTCTCTCCCGTTCCTTGCCAACAATACGCCCACCACGCTGTACCCCATCCAAGATGATGTGCTTACATTTTTCTGCAACCGATCTTCTGACATTTTCACGTTCCTCCAGTCACGAGATTGTAATTTAACCTTAACTTTTTGTGTGTGCAAGATTCTTATTTACACTTCTTATTTACTTAGAAGTTAGTTCCCGAAGAAAGTCTAGCCCCACCCTATGGCTCCGCTTTCTTATTTTTATTTTTGAAGTAAAAAAGAGAGTAATAAGTAAGTCCAATATAGCGGAAAACGAAATTCTTGCAATCGCGAACTCTTAATCCCACACTATTGTTACAATGATTAAGCAGCAAAAATATGCATTCTAATGTTTCAGAGCTACTTTGTACAGAGAAATTAGACAGCAGGTTGGCGTACAGAATAGAAACGAGTGCAAATTAAATGTAATGTTTAAAGCACAACTCGAAGATCTCTTTTCATTACGGCCTTGAATGTATTTATATTCTTTAAAAATTAAACAAACAACCACAAAAACAAATTTAAACAGATGGTAGAAAACTACGAAGCTCCTCTTACCTGAACTCGCGGAGCGAAAACCCGATAGCTTAGCGTAGCATCGATCCGATGTGTTTGCTGATGAATGGAAGCTAGGGTTAAGTGAAGGTGCCTATGATTTGAAATCATTCCAAGTTTTTGAAGGGAAGACGGACTGCAGCCTCTGCCATGTTGGAATTTCAAACCCAAAACAGCTGCTTGGAAGGAGCCAGCATGCCAGAGGCTGGGCGCAGGCGCAGAGCGCCGCCGAGCCAAATTCAAATCACTTTCACACTAAGAGCCAAAGATCAGTTTTCAAAGGAGAGAGGGAGAAAAGAGACGGAGGCTGCCGTGAGGGAGAGGAGACGGGAGGCAGTGGCGAGAGGCGGGCAGTGGAAAGAGACGGGCAGCGGGAGGACCGAGAGGGAGAGGGAGAGGCGCACGGAGCCCGCGGAGCTGGAGGGGGAGAAAGGGAGGCGGGAGGCGAGCGGAGAGCGAGCTAGAGACGCGCCAGAGATTCATGGGCAGGGAGGGCTCAATGGCCGCGCCGCGCTGGCCGGCCGGCCGCTCGGGTCATGTTACACGGCCGGGGCCGCGGCGGCCGCCCAGCCTCGCCGACGCGCTCGCGCCGCCCGGAGGGGGCCCGGAGGTCATGATTACGCGCGCGGGGACCCGGAGCTCTGCCTGCCCGCACTCTCGGGCGGCCCAGCCTAGGGAGAGGGGAGCGGTACCTCCGGAGGGAAGGAGGGGGGTGCCTTTCTTTCCCACGCGTGACCAGCCGGCCCTCGCGCTCCCAGCCCTCCTTCCCCGGCTCTGGGGCCCGCCGCCCCTCCCCGCACGCACTCCCGCCCGCCCCAGGCCCTCTCGACAGCTGCCTCGCCGCTTCCCCCTTCCCCACCCCCATGACTCCGCTCACAGGACGGGACCCGGACCCCCGAGAGCCGGGACCTCACCCTCACTCTCCCTGGGGCTCCCAGCATCAGCCAGAGAATGACTTTATCTGCAAAAAGAAGAGGCAACTTCGGGGGGGAAAGCCGAATTCACCCAGTTCCCCTCCCCCGCCGCCCTGTGAATAAATAAGATCCGAAGTGGCTAGGTGTGCGGTCCACTCTGCGGTGCTCCGGCTCCCCTCCCTATCTCCCCCAGGCGACTCGGGCTGGGGAACGCAGCGCCCGGGGGCCCCTGGTGCGGGCGGCTGGTGCGCAGGCATAGACGTTAGCCTGCCAAGCTTTCCCAGCCCCCTTCTAGGGAGCAATCTGGGGACCCAGGAGTGGGAAGAGAGTAGAGGCTTTGTGGTGCTGGGAGCTGAAGAAGAATGAAATGTGCAGTTGAATGTGTTGCTGCATCCCAGGGAGCGATGCAGTGCTGATTGTCTGTTGCTGAGATAGCCTTTTGTTCGGAACATAAGGTTTAAGAAACACACACACGTTTTCTGGGGTCTCTTGTTAGATGTAAATGTGCTGCATCCAGACGCTTACTATGCAGGGTAAGCTCAGTTGGTTTACTAATCACCCCGCCCCACCCCCAAACAACCAGGATCATTTGAATGGGAACCTCATTCAGACTTCTAGGCTGAGAGTATTGCCTTCAACCTATTTCATTCTAGACTAGCCAACCATCCAACTGAGATAATAAAGCAAACAATAACATTTGATCATGATGTCTACGAGATAATGTGCCCGGCAAAGTTCTTTAGAAATTGTAATGAGAAAGAGAGTGAGTGGGGTAATAATTTCTCTTCGTTTTCATTAAATATGACTTTAATAGATAAATGGTAAGTTTATACTTTGGCCTGGTGGACATCCGGCCCTCTATATTTCAACTAAGCTAAGAAGGAAAGAGGCGAATTAAATATTCGACCGGGAGCCCATCAAGCTGAAAATGTTACCTTTGAAGGTTGGAACCGAAAATATACTTTTTAGGACTGACCCTCCTGATAACAAACGGTAGTCACATTTCCCCCACTTCTCTGTTATAGATTTAATAGACTAAATTGCAGCTCTCCAGATGATGAAATGCAGCTTTTAAAATATACCACATATATAGTCCGAAATTAATTTCATTCTCCTGTGATTTTCTTACCTTTAAACAGATAGCTATTGAATGAATGCATTTAACTAACACAATGAGAAAGAAAAATTATTTTAGTTAAATCTAGGCAGATGACAGAATTTAAAAGACCCCCCCAAAAAAAAAACTGATTCAAAATCTTACTAAGTATTTCCAGGGAATGAAATCTGTATTTGGAATAGATTTGAACTTTTTGTGCATTTTTTAAAAAAACAGGCTTCAAGATAAAACGGAAGAACTTTATTCTGATTAACAGACAATACTGAAGCTCCTTTAGTTATGTTTACAAGATAGCTTTGAAAATGATATTATGAGAAGTTGTCCATTGGATTTCACCACAAAGAAATAAGTGTAGGAAAATATCTATGGGTCACTGTTGGATTGAGTACAGATGAATTAAACAACAACTGTGAAGAATTTATAATTTCAGTTACTGCCCATGTGGAGAATGCCGATGACAAGCCCTCTGTGCAATTCAAGCAAAACTGCTCTGTCCTTGTTTGTTAAAAAAAGTTCAAAGCTCATCAACCTTTAACACTAAATTCCTAGTACTGAATTTACAGTTCCTCAGGTAAACCAAAACACTGAATAAAACAGAAATAATGGAATCACTACTGAGTAAAAACAATGTATTTTGATGATCAACTTAAATTCATTTTCAGTATTTAAAGTAAACTAAGCCCTACTTTTAAAAGGGACCAGGAAGAGTGTGGTTAGCAGAAGTTTATTCATAGAGAAGTAGTACTTTTTCCAATTCTCTTATATATTCATTTGAAATACAGATTATAAAATCTATCATTCACCATACAAATGGGCATAATTAACATTGGAATCAAAGAAATGGAAACTATTCAAAAGATCATTGCTTATATTTACATAGAGTTTTCAATGTGTTCAAAATTACATATATTCCCAGGGGGGAAAAAGGCTTATGTAATAAAATATTATGGGATTTGCACAACTAATAAAATCCATAGTGGAGTTCATCATCCCACTATTTCTAGGTTTCTTTCTATCTTCTTATGTATGGGGAAAGGCTGCTTTTCTTACATTACACTTTGCAGAGGAATATGAAGCTTTGTTTTTCCAAAGTTTCATTTTTTTTTTGTAAAATTAGCACAATGTTTCATTTTTGTTGTCTTAGTAAAACTATAACAATGTGATTCAATTAAATAGCATCCTAATAGTCACTGTATTCTAGCTATATTTTTAAAGTTGTATTCTAAAGTTTCTGGTTATAATTGATACCTACCTCTATACTATATTTTATGAAACTTTTCCTGTGGTAACATGAGAATAAGAAATTGAGTCTTTAAAGAAAGCTGATTGGCTAGTTAAAGAAATAGTTAATTCATTGAAAACCTGGGCTAATTGTTTTTCCCACTGCATTATATACTTTCCTTATCTCTTTCTTTTACTTTTCAAATGTAGAAATGTAGATGAATTTCTAATACACAGTATATTCTGACTTGGGCTTTTTAAGAAAATCAGAAGAAAAGTAAACATGAAGTATCCCTTTTTCTTTCAGGATTGTGTGTGTCTCTCTGTGTGTTTTCCTCTCAAAATCATTCAGAGGGAAAAATTACTTTACTTTTCCCTGTTCTTAGTCTCACTACACATATCAACAACCACAAAGTAAGAAAATAAGCAAGGTGATTCTGAAGGGATTTTACAGATGCCCCTGTGTTTGTCTGCACTGGACTAAGGAGAATTTGACCCAGGTTAGACACAGAGGTGTGCTTTACCCACGTGATGGGAAAGGAAAATAAGGGAAAGATGAGGGTAGATAGAGTGTAGAGAAGATGAAGCGGAAGAAGGTGACAAGATGCTTTACAGAGAAAAACAAGTTTCTATAATGGGTGGTTTATTATGAAATGCTCAATACAATTCAACTTTTAAAACTGCTTTTTAGTTTCAAACTCAAGGACTATTTTAATAGAACATTAAACTAGTAATATCTTCTTCCAAACTATGTTTCAAAAAACATTCCAAGACTTAGTAGCTATTTACAAGACCTACACTTTTTTTTTCCATATTGCTCACAAAATCTGAAGTGTCTTACAATAATGCAAATTACTGACATAGTAATTTTTTAATGTTTCCATAAAATTGCAGTTTAAGGATCTTCATTTGCACTTCAACTGATACTACTAAGTTCTTATGCACTATTCCCCTCCTCAAAAAAAAAAAAAAAAAGTGAAGACCTTGACCTCATTTTTGTGAAATTACTCAATTTGTTAGAATTACACTTGAATACAGGTACTGTCAAATGGCATTAGAGTGGTCTGTATATCTCTTCTGTGACCTCACCCTACAGTGGAGAGACAACCGGAAAATCCTGTGATAGGTTCACCAGAGATGTTTTCTTAGTTTTGCAAAAGTGTTTTCTTCTAATAACCTGAGGATTATGGTTTTTTTCATTTACTCTTTAAATGGTGGTACTGTTCACATATTTGCTGCAACTTCTGCCTGACTCTCAATCTCATTTAGGAAAAGTACGTGCTGAACACTTACTGTGGTTAAAAGCATTGCCCTAAAAATTGCAGAGGATTTAAAAAAACTGACATTAATATGTCATGGATGTGCCCAGATAAATATAGTTCAAAGTGAATGTTGAACTATAATAAGCGAGTCATAAAGGGGTTCTGTCCAGAAGATATAGGTTCTTTCATGAAGGAGACGTCAGTTTTCCTGGCCTTTGTAGTGTCTTTATTTTCCTACACAACAAACTGCTTGTCATTTGCATGCACCGTGTCATTTGTCCCCTCTGTGCCTTGCTATTCATTGAGCCCCCTATTTGCCCTCCTCTTCTCTGCGCTAACCCTTGCAGACACTCAGAGCTCTCATCTCCTCCAAGGGAGACTTCCCAGCCTTCCTAGGAGCACTTCACTCTCTCTCCCCTGGGCTCTTTTCAGACACTGTATCTCCTTCTCTAATTATCACATCATTTTAAAAGTATCTTTGTATTTGATCCCTCTGTTGTATTGTAAGCTTCTTGAGGGCAAGCATCATTGTCATTTCCATCTTTGTATTGTTTTTTTCTCCCCAGTGCTTAAAATACTGACAATAAACATTTAGTGAGTCAGCGTTGATTGAGGAAATTAACGAGTTGATGTGTTGAGGAAATAGGGATTCACTAATGCAGCAAGGAGCAAAGCTACATGGTCCTTTGCAGGAAACAGCATCTGATCTAGTTTGTTTGAGCCCTTGCTTTGTACAGACACAAAGCAGGAAATAAAGATGGGGATGAGAACGGGGGATGCATTATGGAGGAATTTCATTCAGTCCTTGGATGAGAGGTTTGCATTGCAGTAGGTAACAGGAAGCTCTCGTTGGTTTTTAAGCAGGAGATTTATGAGGTCTGAGACCTGCTTTAAGAAGATATAGCTAATAGAACTGGAAACAGGGGGACGGGCTGAGAAGTTATTGCAATGGACTATCATTTTCTGGTCCCTCAAACTGTCAATCCTTCCTGTAGGGTTCAGTCATATGCTTCCTTGCCTTCTTTATAGATGGTCTATCTGTATTGATTGCTCAATACTGTACGTTCATTTTGTGATATTACAAAATGTCAGCGTGTTTAAAGGCATTCATTTAATGTCAAAGATATAAAAAGGTACAATACATTGGAATGGAATGTTTTT